TTTACGGAATTGATCAGGTAAAATTTCTCTCCCAGGATACTGCATGGTGTATACCTGTTGGTCGTCTTCATTAACCTGCATGGTGTATACCTGTTGGTCGTCTTCATTAACCTAGTTGGTGTATACCTGTTGGTCGTCTTCATTAACCTAGTTGGTATATACCTGTTGGTCGTCTTCATTAACCTGGTTGGTATATACCTGTTGGTCGTCTTCATTAACCTGGTTAGTGTATACCTGTTGGTCATCTTCATTAACCTAGTTGGTGTATACCTGTTGGTTGTCTTCATTAACCTAGTTGGTGTATACCTGTTGGTCGTCTTCATTAACCTAGTTGGTATATACCTGTTGGTCGTCTTCATTAACCTAGTTGGTGTATACCTGTTGGTCGTCTTCATTAACCTAGTTGGTGTATACCTGTTGGTCGTCTTCATTAACCTAGTTGGTGTATACCTGTTGGTTGTCTTCATTAACCTAGTTGGTGTATACCTGTTGGTCGTCTTCATTAACCTAGTTGGTATACCTGTTGGTCATCTTCATTAACCTGGTTAGTGTATACCTGTTGGTCATCTTCATTAACGTGGTTGGTGCCAAAAGTAGGATGCTAAATCCTATTTTATTTTATTCATCATGCATTCACAAATTTTCCAATAAACAACTTTAAACCTCCCTGACATGGGATTTAACTTCAACTCGACACAAACTAGCTCATTTTTGGACTAACATATGGTTCAATTGTATTTCAGTAATTCGCTTGCACGTACAGGTCTTTAGAAGTTGGAGGAAGCCAGGGGACCTGGAGAAAATGCACGAGGTTCGACAGACAACCCAACTTCTTGTCGAGTATAAGCAGGGAATCAAAACCACGCCCCTTGACTTAATGACAGACATTGTGATTTCATGTACCCGCGTTGAACCACTAGACCATCCCCCCTCCCCCTCCCCTATATTGTTAGAAAGCCAGGCTTCGAATTAAGGTACTTGATGCAGACAATGTCAGACAAAAATTCAGACACAATCCCTTTGATGTCTTTGATTTTGTCTGGCCCAGATTTGTCTCTCTTTTTCTGTGTGCGTTTTTATTGACATTATTAATACATGTCCAGAACACATTGAGAGAGAGAGAGAAATGGGGTTTAACGTCCACTCGACACAAAATAGGTAATTTCGGGACTAACACATGGTTCAATTTTTATTTCAATAATTCGCTTGCGCGTAGGGGTCTTTAGCAGTGGGAGGAAACCGGAGGACCTGGAGAAAACCCACGAGGTTGGACAGGCGACCCTACTCCTTGCCACGTACAACCGGGGAATCGAAACCCGCCAGTTGACTAAAAGACAGACGGTATGATACAGCGCGTGCGTGCTAACCATTCGGCCATCCACCCCCACCCCCCCCCCCCAGAACACAGTTCAAATTGTCAGATAGTAGTTCAGTAGTAGCACCTGACATTTGTGACAAAGTGCTCCATAATTAAAGATAAATATTTTATGTAAAATACCTATTTAGATGCATCAAAACAAATTATTCAGCACTTTGTCACACATTTTGTCAGGAACAACTTAAATTTTATTTCCAGGCCTGAATAAATCAAACAGAAACAAATGTAAAAATAACTTACTTTTTAATATCATCAATTTCTTTGGTAATACTGTCTAATTCTTTAATAGCAGAAAAATCAGCTACATGACTATATGGGCCAGCATTGGTACCATCCTGAATAGAAATTAACATGAAAGTATAAGCTGTAAGAATAGACATGTATTATAGTTTACTTACTTACTACATATGTTTGACTAATAAACCTGACCCCGAGTTCACAAAGCATTCTCAGACTTAAGTTAAGAATTTACTCAACTTTCAAATCACTGTTTATGAGAAATATCTTTGATCCAGAAACATAAAACTTTACACATAGTTTCTTATTGATGTATTTGATACATTAAAACAACAAAAGTTTTATAAAGGTCTATATTTTAGTTAAAATAAGGCGAACAATTTTGAGTAAATTCTTAACTTAAGTCTGAGAATGCTTTGTGAACTCAGGGTCTGGGCTTTTTTATACTTATCTAAGACCAAACTCGGACCTGTCACAGACTTTGCCAAGTACAAATGCTCACACAACTTGTGGTTATTTAAGCCTGGGCATGCAATACCTAATACCTACCACACACACTGTCAGACACAAATTATCACACAACATACAGATAATAATATGTTGTGTGATAATCTGTGCCTGACAAAATCTGTGACAGGTGTCTTTATGTTCAGGGTTGCCTAAGACTAAGATAGTCCTGTAGAACAAAGCCAAATTTTAAGACCTACATTTCAGAATTTGTAAATAAAAGGTAATTAAATCATAAATCATATATTGTCTTTTAATTTCAGATTTCCAAGTAGTTGTGGTGACAGAAACTGTTTACAAAATGGAACCAAGAAGATATTTTATTTTGTTGATAATTTTTATTGTATATATTGTGATGTGTGAATCGGAACATTTGGTATATAGATCGAAACCTCGACACCTTAAAGAAACATCCCTCAATAATCAACTAGATACAAACAATCAAGAGAATGTTCTTCAAAAGGCTATACCTCGTAATAATCTACATTCCAACTACAAGATCATTTGCCAATATCTAAAATCTCATCAATGGAAAAACAAATTTATACAATTTGTATCGAAAATATGTTATCCATCAAGAGACATAGGATTTTTGCGTCATAACATCCATTATGACAGAAAAAGTAGAAATAAACCTGTACAACATGACGTCAAAAATGATATTAAAAATCAACAGACGACATCTTTCTGGTCACATGATCCTTTAGCCCTTTTTGAGTGGAAATCGGTAATTAAATGGCCCAAAGTATTACCTCATCATCAACCCTTACCGAACCCACTTAAACCAAGATACAAAACACAAACGGTTGGATTGCCTACTGAAAGGAAACCCATAAAACTTGTTGCAAAAAATAGACAAAATCACAGTAACCAAGTTAAAACGGTTCGTAAAAGACTAACTGCGAATAAAGTACCTCGTCATAATACCTTTCCCAGTCTGCCAGTGTTCTTTCAACAACTTATTCCATCAATTTTTAACCAATCAGATTTTTTCCATAACCTAATTCCAAGACATATAAAATTCCCAGATATCCTACATAGATTTATTCCGAGTCACTTAAATGCACATATTTTCCATCGACGACTAATTCCAAGACATTGGATCATTTCAAAACCTTTGAGAAAATTTATTGCGAGACATTCCCCAAACAAATCATCAGTTGTGGTGATAGGAAGTAGACGAAACAATTTTAATCCTAAAAAAAATTCTCTACGATCAACAAGGAGAACAGACACGAAGCATCAATCTTCGGGTTTCAATGACTCACAAGAATCTACAAAGATGGCAAGAAATTCATTTCTCACAAGAAAACCATCCCGAATTAAACGCTCTATTTCGAAACTAATGGGTAAAAGAAATGACGATGCATGGATGGATCAGAATAGTTATAGAGAGGTATTCATAAAATATTATAAATGTTTAGATAGAAAGGTAGCGGAAGTAAAAGGAGAATTAGACAATGCTATTAAACCTGTATTATTAATAGTTGGACAATCTGTGGAACTTAAATGTGATATATGGTAGGTATGACATTAAGTTGGAGAGAGAGAGAGAGAGAGAGAGAGAGAGAGAGAGAGAGAGGGGGTTTAACCTCCATTCGACACAAATTAAGTCATTTTGAGCCTAACATATGGAACAATTTCATTTTAATTTTAATTCGCTTCTGGTCATTAAACTCTTTAGTGATGGGACGAAACTGAAAGACCTGAAGTTAATGACAGACCTAGTAATCCCCCCCCCCCCCATTTGATATAGTATGGAAAATGTGGAGTTATCATTTCTACCTTTCATTTTAATATGGAAAGATTTACATCATTTTCCCCATATAGTCTTTCTCTTTTTTTTTTTTTGAGTTCTATTTCATTTTTGGGTTTTACTTAGTCTTCCCTTACACTAGGATCTGGAAGAGTTGTTATATTACCATGCTTTTTGGTTGAAGTGAGGGGTTAGCGGTTTGACAATGAAACAGTCTGTTACGGCGACTTCTTGGCGTACCATGCATGGAACTGTGGGTAAACCATTAGAAACGTCAACGCTGATGAACCACACATATTCACTAAAATATATCTGGGATGTAATAGTACTTTGGTCCTTAAGACCATAGTGTATCTCTAATTATTGGTTAACATTTTCTATAGGATCAAATCACACGTACTAATGACATGTTTATATATAAAAAAAACAGTGAGATTTTGGTAAAATTATTACCATTCTCAAAATATCCAACAAATTCTATCTGTTTATGACATGTGTCTGGTAGACCAAATAAGGTAATTTTCTCCCTCCTGGTCTTGGGAGAATGGGGGTGTTTATTCCATATTTGGGTAGGAAATTAACGGTGTAGACGGGTGTAGAGCGAAATTGATCAGAGCTCACCCAGGTATTCCGAGCAGTCATCATCTATGCTTTATTGAGAACGAGGGAAGTTCAAAGCCAACTAGTTTAACAATAAAGTTGAAGAAACCATGTAACCTGTAGTTTTATTACGATCACGAGGGAAACACAACAAGGAAGTCCTTTAAATGTTTGTGACTTGTATATTGTTCTTGTTAAAATTTCAGTCGGAGACCCGATCAGAATGCTGATAGTCTGGGAATAGATTGGCAAATGTTGAGAAGAGCAGACGGTAGAATGAGACATGTTGATTTTAATAAGAACAAGAGAATGAAGATGATGAAAGATTATACATTACATATCAAAGAGGCAGCCATAACAGATGCAGGACAATATTTCTGTGTTGTACAAAACAACTATGCCTCGGTTTTTCAGGTTGATATTCTAATTAACGAGAAGAGACGACTTGTAAGTATTTAAATCCACGGCCGAATGGTTAGTGCGTGGTTATTTTTCAGTGTCTGTCAGTCAAGACTGGTCAATATGGCAGAAGTAAGATTCCTACGTCACAGGGCACATGCATATGGCATCCATTGTTTAACTTGGGTAGCTTTAGATCATAAAGTCTGTCATTGAGTCAACTGGCATGGTTTAGATTCCTCGGTTGTACGTGACAAGGAGTAGGGTCGCCTGTTCAACCAGGTGGGTTTTCTCCGGACAACCTCCTAGCCACTGAACCACCGTGGCTCCCTATTTTTTTAGAGGTTCAACGTTCACAATCTTGTAGTTTGCAGCAGATTAAAAAAAAAAACTCAAATGACGATCATCAGCTTTAATTATATATATGCTGAAATATAGATGTCTAGAGCTAGAGGTCCTTATTATCAATAAACAACACAGAACATTTTAAATTAAAAAGATGAAAAACACTAATGATCAATTCATATTTTTTTTTTTTATCATTTAACTAACATGATTTTTGTCATATAACATGATTTTTGTCATTTTGTCATTCAACATGATTTTTGCCATTCAACATGTTTTTTGCCATTCAACATGTTTTTTGTCATTCAACATGATTATTGTCATTCAACATGATTTTTGCCATTCAAAATGATTTTTGCCATTCAAAATGATTTTTGTCATTTAACATGATTTTTGTCATTCAACATGATTTTTGTCATTCAACATGATTTTTGTCAATTAACATGATTTTTGTCATTTTGTTATTTAACATGATTTTTGTTATTCAATATGATTTTTGTCATTTAACATATTGTGTTTGTTTCTAGCTATATGAAGGGCAAGCTGGTCACGAACCAGCAGAAGAATTTATATTAGAAGATAAAAATTTACGTGTTTCTACAGTGTGGACATCTTGGAGTTTCTGTGATAGATGTGGCAATGTTGGCAAGCAGAGAAAGATGGGGCTGTGTATGGTGAAGGTAAAAATTCATAGTTCAAGAATTTTACCAATTAAAAATAAAAATGAAAATGAAATTGAAAATGAAATGGGGTTTATCTGCACGGACTCGGCTATTGAAGAAAGGCATATGTCATACAGTGTACTATGACGGAAATTTTCAGTGGCGCTACCACCTACTCAAATTCCACCTAATTCCAACTGTTAAGGGTTCTTTTACGTGCACGCCGAAGAGTACACATGACTTTGGTTTGAAAGGTCCATCCTACACCAATGAGTGGTAATCATGCCGGAAAATCCAGATGAACTTTCTCGGCCAAAGCAGGGATCGAACATGGGACCTTCAGATTAGCGAGCCAACATCTTATTCACTGAGTCACCACAACTCCCTTTACCAATTAGACGCAAGCCCTAGAGATTAAAGAGGCTTCAACATTATGTTGATCATTGCTGACCAGATTGATTAAATAAAGAATTGTCTGTGAAGTTAACTAGAGCATGTTCAGCCTTTTATACAGTGCTGTTTTTAAGTGGTACGTTGGTTAAGTCTGGAGGTTGTGGGTTCGTTCCAAGGATTTTCCGACGTGGTTTCCCGTTGTCACTGTCAGAGGTGCAGGACGGAGTGCCTGACAAGGACAGTTGTCTAGTCGTTCAGATTGGACGAAAAACCGACATCCAGTGTACACATGGGCATGCACGTAAAAGATCCCCTGGCAGTTGGAATTTGATATAAGAGTAGGCCTTAGCGTCACTGTCTGTGCAAAATTTATTTTATAGCACACTGTATGACGTATGCCCATCTTCCATTACCCAGCCGGAGCAGAAGACTAAGATGTTAAACCCTATTTCATTTCATTTAAAGATACACTATGGAAGATTAGATAAAGAGCTGGCAGTTCTCGCTATAATAGTTAAAAGTAGATATTGTAAAGGGGATATGCTCAAAATTTCAAATTGCTTCTCTCTACTAAGCCAAGAATACCTTATTTTAAAATCACTGTAGCCCCCTATTTATTTTTGCGTTTAATTACCAAGGAGCGTTGAACATTAATAAATGTCTAGTTTATATGACATTTCTGGCCTAAAGAAAGACCTGAAATAGGCAGATTTAGCTCTTACATATAATGTATGTTTAAGTTGGTATGCATGTAAAAGAACCCTTGGCAGTTGGAATTCGATGAAAGATAGTCAGAAACCCAGCAATCCAAGACAACACTATCTTTGACATGCTAGGGTTCACGGTGGCTAAGTGGGTAAGACGCTGGCTTGCTAGCCTGGAGGTCGGGTGTTCGATCCCTGCATTGGCCGAGAAAGTTCATCCAGATTTTCCGACCTGGTTCCCCCTTGTCAGTGATGCAGGACGGAGGGCCTGACAAGGACAGCTGTCTAGTCGTTCAGATGGGACGAAAAACCGAGGTCCTGCGTACACATTGGCGTGCACATAAAAGATCCCTTGGCAGTTGGAATTTGATATAAGAGTCGGCCTTAGCGCCGCTGTTCAGGCAAAATTGTCCTCATAGCACACTGTATGGGGTATGGCCGTACTCATTAGCCCCAGTCACAGCAGAACAGTAGGACGTTAAACCCCATTTTATTTCATTTCATTTCTTCGACATGCTATAAGTTAGTCTAAAGAATCAATAATTTATGTTGTTTTATCTTAATTTCTATTTAAACAGAAACATGATAAAAATTCTCCAATCCAACCAATCGATTTTCCAATGATTGACTTATACCCAGATGGTATACCATGTCATTCCACTGCCTTGCCTAAATTCATCAGGAAAATACCTGATATTAGAAACAGACCGAGTGAAACGATGATTCGAGACTGTATAAAAGAATGTCCAACTAGTCCAGGACCAATCAATGTAACAGATAAAGCCGGTAAAGTTATAGAAGTATTAGAACCAGGGTTTTATTCCTTACATCATCCACCAACCCTACCTCCTATAACACAACGTAAAGTTGTCTACGAAGACGCTGGAAAACATCTCGTACTCAGTTGTCCTAAGTAAGGTTTTTCAAATTTTGTGAACTTTTTTTTCAATTTATATCATTGTTCCAGTTAATTAAAGATACATTAGTTAAGAGTTTAGAGAGAGAGAGAAATAGGGTTTAACGTCCACTCGGCACAAACTAGGTCATTTCGGGACTAACATATGGTTCAATTTTATTTCCATAAGTCGCTTGCGCGTAGGGGTCTTTAGCAGTGGGAGGAAACCGGAGGACCCGGAGAAAACCCACGAAGTTGGACAGGCGACCCTACTCCTTCTCACGTACAACCAGGGATTCGAAACCACGCCAGTTGACTCAATGACAGACTTTAAATTACTTCTTTCTCAGCCAAGTTATCATTGTTTGTAGTTTTGACAAGATGTCGTGTGCACAGTGGTAACCAAGGCACTGGTATAATCGGGACTTAGCCTCGCTTTCCCATTTTTAAATTAAATTTTTAAATGGCGAACCGTTTTAATCTAGTTAAAATCTCGAGTATCCGATGCCATCAAGAGTACATTATGGTCTGGATAGGTTAATTAATGTCTAATTAATAATTTAGATAACATTTGAGGTCTAAAGAAAGACCTACAATAGGCAGATCTGTTTAAGTGATACATGTATAATGTATAACTACTTTTAAAGTCCAAAACTGTTCAACTAGTCTCTTATGATCAGCCCTCTTTTAGTTATCAAGCACCTGTTTTATGGAATAATCTACCATTTAGTTTAAGATGCTGTACATCTCTATATTCTTTTAAAAAACAACTTAAAACACATTTATTTAATCAGGTTTTTAACTGAATCTGTATACAATCGTTAACATGTCCATAATCTTGTTGTTTATTTATGATTTAAATTGTCACTTTGTAAAGTGCCCCTGGACATGTTATATGAAAGGGTGCACTATAAATATGCTGTAATATTAATAATAATAATAATAATATTAATAATAATAATAATAATGTTGCTTTAACCAGCTCATTTATCTTTCCATTTTATACATCAAAGAAATTTTTGTTAAAAGCGCAAAGTAAAAAAAAAACATTTTTGTTGAAAGTACAAGGTATATTTCTAACTATAATTTCCAAACAAAATGATAAATCAGACATACTGTAGTACTTCCATAGTACTTAAAGTGATTTTATTTTTGATTTTTCAGACGTTTAAATAAAGTGATAACAGTGTGGAAACGAGGAAAGAACATTATTAATCCATTAACTATCAGAAAAATAACCAGAAATAGAGTGTTTCTAGATCCAGCTAGTCGATTACACATCAGAAAACTACTTCTATCAGATACGTCCGTTTATCTGTAAGTATTCAAATTATTTCAATCTTTGAAAATTTTGCAGTCCATTCCATGAAACAGTTATCAATTATAACCTCATATTTTTAAGAGAGGGAGAGAAATGCGGTTTAATTGAATGATCTAGTTTGTGTCGAGTGGACGTTAAACCGTTTAACGTCCACTCGACACAAACTAGATCATTCAATTTTATTTGGTTCAATTTATTTCAATAATTCGCTTGCGCGTAGGGGTCTTTAGCAGTGGGAGGAAACCGGAGGACCCGGAAAAAAGCCATGAGGCTGGACAGGCCACTCTACTCCTTGTCACGTACAACCGGAGAATCGAAACCACGCCAGTTGATGCAAGGACAGACCTTATGATACAGCCCCCCCTCCCCATATGTTTATGAGACCTAGCACTTGAAGGTGGTACTAACTTGTTTTGACATCATCTGTAGCAGATCCCAAATGTTGAGAAATTTTAATTCACTGTATCTTTGTAAATACAGAATCGAACAATTTTTTGACAGATATGCATTTTAGAGATTCAACAATATTGAGGTTTACAAGGTGTTCAAAATCACTAAAATGACAACCAGAAACTCTAACTTCAAAACCATATACAAGAGATAAGAGTGGCTTTGAAGACTAGTTTCGGTTGTATTGAACTCTACAACGTACAATCTCATCTCACTCCACCAAAGAGAGACACATACTAGTCGCCTCCTATTTCTTATTTCCAAGCCATAGTCCAAACCTTGCTCTCATATAAACATTTAAAAACTTTACTACTTTATGGAATCAACGACAAATCTAAACTTGGGCACCCCATCCATTTCTATTTTTGTTATACAATTTAAAACCATATACTCAAATCAATACTTGTGTGTTTTTATCGACTGCGTGACAAAAGTATTATTGTATTTTCAGATGTTTTTTAAAGCAAGAACATGTGGCATCGTTTAAAGTGATTGTGTATGAACCATTAAATCAACAACTAAAAGATTATATATCATTATTTGGAATGTTTTTAACGTGTATATGTGTTATTGTTATATGTATCTGTCTGGTTGTTAAAAAGAGCAAGAAAACTCACAAGTGAAGGTTCAGTTCACTCCAAAATGTATATATTATCAACCTTTTTTATGTCAAATATCAATTCCACTTTGCATTTTTCCATTATTCTACAGAATAACTTTGATATTGTCTCAATCTGATTTAAATACAGATCTATATTTCGTTTCGTTTTTTTCATACTTTCGATGGCCTCTACTACATGAAGATCTGACCAATTGTAGTGGAAGGTCGCGACAGAGGTCATATGAGCGGCTTTTGACCCTATGATGTCAGATATTGGTTAATCAATCAGCACTGATGTTTCTAGTGGTTTACCTACAGTTCCGTGCATCGTACACCAAGAACTCGCCGGAACAGAACGTTTCATTGGCTAATCCTTCACTTCAACAAGAACGCAGGTTATTATTATAACAACTCTTCCAGATTCTAGTTTTGTGAAGATAAGTAAAACGAAATTTTGAATTATAAAAAACGAACGAAATAGGATCTGTGTTTTAATCCGGATGATTTTGTCATTGTTTAGACCATATAAAAAGAGACCATAAATCACATACTCAGCTCTGATAAATGTTCTTAACAATCAAATATGGCACAGGACAATCGTAAATTGACTCATTGTTGAACATGATTAATTTAACATGTAAGCCATTAATTATTAAAATGTACACAATGATTCTGTGTTGACTGTTTTTATCACCAAATGGATACTGTTATGTCAGTATTGTAAAACTTTCATGAACGACAAGAAGTATGTATTTGACTAATTGTAAAATCAAGTTTTAAAAGCCATATCTTACCATGACACCAAAAGCAGCTGGGTCTGCTCCTCCTTTAGGTCTAGCTGATGGTGGAATCATTTCTGGTGTTAGTTGAGTTGGTGGTTCAATACCTTTAATCTTCTGCTGTACCAGGTGCATAGCCAGAGCAAACTGTTCAGCATTTAATTTACCTACACCACCCATATCACATAAACTCCTGTAATTATCATACATATACTACATTAGACAAACATAACTCTTCTTTCTACTGGGACCTCATATCAGTTGTCATTAATATAATAAAAAAAATTATTTAAAGTGGCATTAGGGAAGATTAGACAAAGAGCTGATAGTTCTAGCTATAATACTATTAACAGGTAAAAAAATAGAAAATATAAAAGGACCATGCTGAAATTTCAGTCACATTACTTCACTCTGAGCCAAGAAATCCTCATAAAAAAAACAGTGTAGTCTCAATTGTCATTGTTACCGTTGTTATGATAAAAAACAAAGTCTCGATTATCCATTTTTACGGTTAATCATCAACAGCCATTGAACCGCAGATCGGATTCAAATCTGTTGAAAATTGGACCCATCAGATGGCATCGAGAGTTGATTATGTTCTTGTCATGTTAATAAATAAATTAATAGTTTATGTAACACTTAAAGATGGGTTCCCGCGTACAAACTGGGTGATTTAATGGTATATATGGACCAAAAACATATTCAAACTAATTAATTTGTCATAATTATGCTTCAAATCCTTCTCAAACATTGTAATTGCGAAGGAATGCCCTGCTATTAAAATTTGATCAAACCAGGTCATGTTTACGTCACGTCTTGGGAGTCACAGGAGAAATCATTGCATACATAAGACGATGTTGTCTTTAATCGCTTACTATTTATTACAAATATCGAATCCTAATTAAATTCTCGGATTATCCACTACCCGCGTCTTTTTCCGACATTTTTATCTCAGAAAGTATTGTACGTCTAACTCTTCATAAAGTTTATCAACTTGTACATCAAGCGCTCAATGTTCGCTTGTGACCTTTGACATCGTGCGTGCAGAAGGTCATAATCGTCGGGCTGTTGATTAGGTGAACCCTTACATTTTTGTCCTGTATACGCTCCATGAGTGTTTTTCGGGGAATCCAGTATTTTTCTAGTAAGATTGGATATCTCTACTTTCCATATATACCAAAATTGCCATACTTTTATTGGAAATAACCACCTGATAAATACTTTTCTGGGAACCCATCTTTAAGGCCTAAAGAAAGACCTGCAATAAGTGAGAGAGAGAAATGGGGTTTAACATCCACTCGACACAAACTAGGTCATTTCGGGACTAACATCAGGCATGATTTTTTTCCGTTACTTAACGGATTTCCGCTATTTTCATCGCCCGAGGGTCGTTTCCGTGAATCATCTAAATTTGCAATAAAAATTTGGGCATGGTAGAGTCTTTTGACTTTGTCTGACGATCTTGATTGTTATATTATTTTATCCTCACCGTGTGCTAAAAAAAACAGGACTGGTGATTTTGTTGTCAAGTTTTTTCATTATCCCTGTCGCTATGCTTGGAAGGTTAACCAGACTATGTTTCAATTGCCGTGTCAACGTAGAAAATTAAAAGCATGGTAATCGAGACTTGGGAATTAATGTCCAATGAAATTGCAGAAAAGTATTACTCTGCCGACTTGATCGGTCGTGTGGTTCACCTGTGATAGTTAGCGTTGGTCGATTCACAACTTTCCCAAGCTGCACTTATTTGTAACGGCACAGTTTCTATTTAGGAGATAAACACCGACTGTTTAGAATTTAGAGGACTGTTATTGTCCATTTGATACTGCTTAAATCATTAGAGGCCGAGATCGCGTAGCGATCGAGCGCCTCTAATGAAAAATTTAAGCGTAATGACGTAAATACCAAGGAAAACAATTTTGACGTAATGAAAATATCCGTGACGTAATAAGATAAACACTCATTTCCATTCTATTTGGTTCACTAAGCGACTGGTTAATTGTGTCTGTTGGAAAGGGAGGTCACTCTGCGATAATTTTAAAGATCGAAACAGAAATCGTAAGTGTATTTTATGTACTTTTTAAATGATTTTGAACTCCAGCAGTGACTAGGTTCGAAACAAATTGCATATCGTGTTTGATAAATGTCCATACACTCGTGTGACCGTGTAGATATATGCTGTGTAGCGTACGCATGTGGTTGCTATGCTTGTTTACGTTGTCATTTCGACGCTGTGAATGTGATTGTTTTTCTTCGGAAAAAAACATGGCCTATGTATGAAAATTAGTCTCTGTCCTATTCATATCAGTATCATCAGCCCGACTTGTATATTTTTAAAAATATATTACGATCCATACGGAGTTCAATAAATTGTAGTATTTTTATTCACTTGTTGAAAATCTTCGATTTTGACCAGTCTGATTATGATAGAATGACCATAGCAACCGTTATTGTCAGACCAGCCTTGAAATTAAATTTACTTATTATGCTTCAAATACACTCACTAACTTTGTTTTTTATGTGTTTCAGGTGAGTGTTTCAATAAGCTAATGGTTGAATTTCATTGTTGATGACATACAAGAAAAAATTCATGAAGATTTCCAAGAATAAAGTTTTGAGGTGTAGAATTTTTGGCCACTGCAAACAGAGTCTAGCAACCAGAAAATATTCATTCGCAGTGAGTCGCCCAGGAAATTTAGAGGACTGTTATACTCATTCGACGCCACTCTTCGACCAATCAGAATTCAAGAAATTTCCATTTTGGGCTACAATATAATTTATATATTGTCATTTTCTGTGGCTCTAATATTTTTTGGTCATCAGTGATGTAAAAAAATTTATTAACCTCTTTTAGGTAATTGATATAAAAAAAAATAATATACGATCAAGACCGTATTCAATATCCATATGAATACTGTGGTGCGAACTATCCAGAGTAAAAAGTGAAAGTAAAATGCACATCCGGCATTCTGTACAAAAATAGAAAATGACGACCGTTAAAAATATTGTTCAACGCGATGATATTCACGACATAAAAACAATTGACAACGTAAAATCTATGGAAATGGAGAAGGAGGTGAATGGAAGACAATTGGATTATCTATCCAAAAGTTGCGTCAACCAGGAAAAGCTTTTTGCATTGTATGTGAAAAAGACATCAGCTACGGCCGTCACTCGTGACTCGGGGATGGAAAATAAAGAAAAAAAAAGAAGAAAAGAAAGAATACCTAGAAATAAAAAGCAAAGCCTTAACTAAAAAAAATTCAAAGGAACTTTTACAATCTGCCTCAAAAAAAGCCAGACTGTGTTTAAACAAATAAATTATTTTATCTGTTTTTGTTTTGTATTTTTGCTGGAATTTGCTGCATCAGGTTTATTTTTAATCAAGGCATTTACCATCCAAATGTCTTCAGAGTGCACGATTTAAAGTTAAATTTTAAAAATTTTCTCAGGGGACCATGCCCCCGAACCCCCCTAGCCTCAATAGTATACCTCAGCGTATTTTTTGCCTCCGGCCAAAAATTTCAGTTTTTTTATTAGTAACCAGAATCATGCCTGTAACATATGACATATAATTTTATTTCAATAATTTGCTTGTGCGTAGGGGTCTTTAGCAGTGGGAGGAAACTGGATGACCACGTACAACCGGGCAATCGACCTGCAATAGGTAGACTTAGCTCTTGAATAATGTAGGTTTAATGGGATAACTAGTATATTTGGATGTCCAGTAAGATAAGATATTTTCTCGTACCATATATGTGCTAAGACAACATTGTTAAGACCACTTTGAACAAAAATATCTCGAATTTCAACACCAGAAACCAGACCATCCATATCAGTATCCAGGGTACGGAACATGGCATCCGTCTTTATTTTCTCTGCTGCAGAAACAACCCAAGCACCGGTACCCTGCAACAAAATAAACAGCAATTAACAAAAGAACATCCAACATTATACAACCATTTGAAAACACACAATTTCTAAATAGAACTGACAAAGAACTGAGGACCTGTGAACACATTGTTGTGCATGTAAATGAAATGAAATGAAATGGAGTTTAACGTCCTACTGTTCTGCTCCTAACCTGGGCTAATGAAGACGGGCATACGCCATACAGTGTGCTATGAGGGAAATTTTGCCCGGACAGCGGCACTACGGCCTACTCTTATATCGAATTCCAACTGCCAAGGGATCTTTTACGTGCACGCCAATGTGTACATGGGACCTCGGTTTTTCGTCCCAT